TTTAGGAAAAAAAATCTTCACTGAAATGGTTGTCAAGCACTGGAACAGGCTGCCCAAGAAAACATTAGTCACCATCCCTGGAAGTATTTAAAAGCTGTGTAGCTGTGGCACTCATAAACATGGTTTAGTGGTGACCTGGCAGTGTTAGGTCAATGGTTGGACTCCATGACCTTAGAGGTCTTTTCCAACCTAAACAGGTCTCAAAGTCAAGGCCTCTGCTGCTTGAACAGGCAGTGGCACAGCAGCCTGTTATTATTTTGTTCCTTTTGTATATACCAAAACGACAACACACGGCCTCAGGGTAGGAAACCTCCTCCTATTTTCCAGTCTCAGCTGGCTCCTGGCCAACTCATACTGGTTTGTCTTTGTGACTGCATTGTCTTCTGGCTCCCCTCCTTCTCTGGATGTGAGATTCTCTTGCTACTTCATTTGTCCCAGTAGGGGTTTGGATACCTATTACACCCCCTTCTCCTTTCCTAGGCTGAACAAGTTCTGGACATTCAAACACCAGCAGCTCTGCAATTCTGCCAGCTCCCCAGAGTCACAGCTGACAAGAACTGGAAATGGGGTCAAGGCAAGGCCTCTCCACAGCCTTAGTCACAATGTTCAAATTAATTGGCCACTCAGTAGTGTGGCCAATAATACTTACCAGAAGTACTTCCCTGGATGCATGCAGAATCAGGTGGTAGCTTTCTCAGAGCCATGTTACACTGCTGCCTGGTAGTTCTTCATGAAAGCCTTCACACTGTCCTTCTGGGGTACCCACAGTCCAATTACACACTTTCCAATGCAAAGTGCTTAAACCTGAAACAGTTTCAACTAGAAGCTGCAGAAAAGAGTTCCCAAAATAACAGAGGTATGAAATTGCTGCCAATACTACTTTAGAACAGGAGGGGAGTACACAAGACAAATCTACCATGCTGTATTTTAAGATCCAAATCCACAAGTAAGAGGATTACAATAAAAAAGCATTGCTATCTAATGAAGTTATTTTCCTCTGACTGGTAAGCAATCATATGACAGATACTTACATGGAGACAGAAGCAATGCACCTAAGTTGTTTTCCATCAGACTGGCATTTCCAATGATCTATTAAGTCAACTCTAAACCCACAAAAACCAATTACAATTTACTGCAGTACCTTGCTGTCACACAGAGATGCATTTAAACAGCATTCTAAGACTAAAAACACTGCTGTTATCACTGGTCATCTTCCAGAAAGGTGAAAACATGTTTATACTCTCTGGTAGTCAAGAGAATTCAGGAACACACTGTTACTGCTCAGAAAGGGGAAATAACACCTTTGCTCCATCTTTGCTATGCAGTACTGTAACACTTGATGGAACAAAGGTCTCACCTATGAGAATGTTCCCTGATTCCATCAGGGAAGAGCAAGCGTGTGCAAGCATGTGACCAAGACACTGAGAAAGGCAGCTACGCTACACACCACCTTCCTGTAAGGCCAAGAACCTATGTCCTAAAAACTGTCAAACAACAGTATACAAGATGGAACCAAAGGTTTGGAACTGTGAAAGAGGGTGTAGAAGCCCTTTCCTCATGCTGTTTCTTCCTTTCCTGCTGCAACTGTTCCTAATTCCTTTCAGCTTACACATTTTGAAATCTGTAACTTTAACCACAAATATGTACCCCAATGGGTTTTACAGCAAAGAACTAGACTGAAAAGATAATGAAAGCAGATGCTGTTGATGGAAGCAGCATATAAATAAAGGTCTGCTTTGGAGTCCTGTTCTCTCCAGAGTATTTGCTCTTCTTGATCATTCCCTTTTCACAGGTACAAGTGCTACAGCATTGCAAAGAACAGTCAGAAATCAAAGAAACTGAGGAAGGGCAGAGTCTGTACTCTTAACAAAATCCTTACAGGGGAATGAGAGCAAAATAAGTAGATCCAAATTGAAGCTTTATGATAGGGCAAATTTCAAATTTTACTTGCTGTAGAACCTTACTGGGAGTTATTCAAAACATAAGAACAAAGATGCCAAAAACAGAAGAGTGATAATTTTTCCCTAAGTGGATTTCTGCCCAACACATGAAACATCTAAGAAGCAACTCATGCAATCTTAATATTTCAGTCACCACTGAAGTTCATTCATGATTGATAAAAACTGCCTGTATTTTTCTTGTGTTTCTCAAAATTATGGAGAACATTTTGTATTTCCTACAGCCTCTTCCACACTTCTGACAAGAGAAGAATGATGTGTCCTACTGTGGTGTATCATCCAAAGACCTCTCAGGACACAGGAAAGAAAACTGAAGAAAACAGACAGGCTGCAGAGAACAGGAAAAAAAGATGTTCAGGGGAAATATTCCTATTTCTTAAATCACAGCAGTTGCCTAACACTTGGTTGTTGAGAGAGCTAATTATCCCCCAAGAGCTTTTTCTACTTGTATGCTTTCACTATAGCTATGCATTTTTCCTAGATGAGATCCACTTAGGCACAATTGAGAGCCTTGGCTAACTTCTCAGTATTAAATCACTTTCCAGAGCACCCATAGATACCCTATGATCATGGCTTACCTTCACAATTGCAGATTTGCTTTGGTCCTGCAAACTGCTCAGAAATTATTTGTGCACATCCAAGGCAGTTTGTAGGGGGATAGAATATAACAAATAGTGTAGAAAGTAATCTGACCCATAAGTAGTTGCAGCTGGGCCAATTAGCAAAGATTAGGAACAGGCCTGACTTGAACAGGCCACAGCTGTAAGCAATGAGAAGAAGAGTGCTATAAAAGAGTGGGTGGGTTGGTTGGGTGAAGAGGACCTGGAGTCAGTTGGCTACTTTGTGGAGAAGAAAGAGCTAGTGCTCTGAGGAGCTGCTCATGAGAAAACACCAAGAGGGTATGAAACTTTTGCAATAAGGAGACAGCAGTATGGAACCCCTGCAATAAGATGACAGCAGCAGTTGCTATGTTTCTGGCAGTAAGACTGAGTACTTTATTTCCAGGGGTGCTGCCTCCAGGATTATTTTTTCACTATCTCCTTCCCACCTTTTCTTTTTCTTTCCTCCTTTCTGTGGTTTTAAATACAGATACCCACAGTAGAGGCTTCACACTTTCAGGCTGCCATGTGCATGCTGTACCATCAGCATCTGCTCCTCTGACACCTCCCAGGAAGCTTCAGCAACTCTCCTTTGACATGTTCAGCATCTCTGGAGGCATTCAAAAAACTGACCATGCCTTTTTTCAGCATTGCCTTCCCACTTTGCCCTCCTTGGGTTTACCAGTGTGGAATTTCTAACAGCATGGCTTCTTTTCATGACTCTAAGCAAACACACATCTTTGTTCCCTTTCACTCCTGCCCGGATTAGAAGGGAAAATGATGATTTTTCGTCAGGAAGTACCAAACAGCACCATTTTTGTGCTTTCACCAGCCACTTGCCAACAGCTGCATGGCTGCAGGCTTAATGCTGTTCTCTTCATAAGGGAAATGTCTCCTACTGCATAGCAAAACAGGCTGCAGGCCTCTCAAAGCTGCTCTGGTGGCAAAGAGATGAGTCACCTCAGGCTGCTGCCACACGCAGGAAACCAAGCTGACAGCTCAGCTGCACACAACTGCATTAAACGCACAAAAATAGAGATTTATACAAGGCAGCACCAAAGCTGGCTGCACACATCAGTGAGAGCAAAGTCACTCCTCCTCCAGGAGGGAGGCACTCTGTTCACCAGCCCAAGCACTGCAGGCTTTGCTGCTAATAGGATCATTTCCTTCTAAAACCTCCCCACGGCAGCAGCCCAGGAACACGCACAGATAACTCAGGCTGAAAGGGAATTTTCCACCAGCCACAAGCCTCCTTCTACCTTGCATAAATCTTCTCAAGCACAGGCCACAAAGAATCCACACCAGATCTGCAGATGACATGTAACAAGTAATTGGACACAATAAATCTCCAGCAACCAACTCCCATGTCAAGTTTCCTCTGCACCCTCACATTTCAAATAAGCACATGTTGACTTCACACCTCCTTCCAGGTCCCCTTCATGTTGCTATAACAAAAACTAGGATGGGGGCTTAGCATAAATCACTACAAGGCCATTAAGCTGAAAGATCATTCCCACTTTGTCAATTAAGAGATATCAGATACAGGCAGATACACTGACAAGACATCCTTTTTCATCTGAGAAAATAAGCCTAAGCAATCCCTATATAATCACTCTTTTTCTCAGCAAACTTTCTGGAGCACAGATAAGATCAAAGGCTGCTTTCCCAGCCAACAAAGTTATTAACACCTCAAGGAAAAAGTGATGTTGCACAAAAGCCAGAGCTGTCTGATGGCTTCCCTAATCTGAGGATGGAGACACAACAGAGCAGCAGGGAGCCTTACCCCCAGTACAAACAGGGCAGCGTTTGTGCATGAATCAGAAAACAACATGTTTTTTTGGGAAGAATACATAATTTCGAGACATTTTCTTTGACAGAACAGTTCCCAAAATAAAAAAAAAAAGCACATGTATTTTTAACTACAGAAAAACATCTTCATGGCACGCAATCAGAAAGCACAGCAGTGACAATGCACTGCGTGCTGAAGTTAAAAGGGGATAGGCATTACCCTATAAAAGTTGTTTCACAAGCAAGTGATTTCTGAATCCATTTTAACAAGACAAACCCTCTTACTCCCAAGATCTCAAAAAACCCAGTCAGCTCAATTTTATTAGGAACATGAAGATAACAGACCCATGCAACACAATCAATTTAATTTTTGTCTTAGCTGAGATAAGAGGCCAGACTGTAGGGAAGGGAGTCCATCAAAAATCAGGAGCTCCATATGAGCAGATACAGTAAAACTGTTTCCTGTCTGCACTTTTGCTAAAGTCAACATACAGTATGGATTCTCTGATGTACAAGGAGTGTTTTTCCTCCTATTTTCAAGAAAATTACTTCAACTCACTACCCCTTGAGTTTTCTTTGCAAAATGTGGTTAAAATGGGCCAAAGGATTCAAAAGCTGCTGAGGAGAGACAACAAAGAGACACAGATGCACAAAGTAAGGATGTGAATTTGTTTTCTGAAGCTGTAACAATAAAAAGAAAAGAGAAAGAATAATCTGGGCCAGCAGTTCCAAAAATATGACATAAATATCATCTGCAGTTTGAAAGTGGTATGCAAATAACATCTGAACAGCCAAATGATGTTTGTGCGTGCCACTGAGACTACATTTGTAAAAGCCTTGTGCAGAGTACAATCAAGCTGAAACAAACCACAAGCATTTAATTTATCATAACTGGCATGGCAAGAGCCTCCTCCCTAACACAGCACACTCTGACTGTCCTGCCTGCACTGCACCAATTTTAGGAGAGTCCTACTACATCTGCCAAGGACCATCATGGTATACAAGTTTCCTCAAAAGATGTGCCAAAATTGCACTGTTGTTACTTTCATGTAAGGAAGAAAAAAACAAACCCACGCTTCTAGAAAGAAAATATAGTTCAGGAACATATAACTGAATGGAGAAACTTCACATTTGAATTGAAGAAATGATAACATGCATTCCAGTTCCAGCCTGAAAAGATGGGAATGCAGAGATGGGAGAGGATTATACACCTCTGCCTAGGTCAGTCCATAACTCTGTTCAGAGCTCAGAACTCAATGCAGAGAAAGCTATCAGAAAAAAAATATTATTACTTAATATTTATGTAGCACTTTTCATCTGGCAATTTTTAAGCAAGCAATACATTAAGTAATTTACCAAGAAAAAGAAAAACATACATTGGCCTTCTGTGGGATCAGCAGCTTATACTTTCAGAGGAAAACAATTCTACTTTATTAAACTTTAAGGCCTGAATTTACTATACATTATTCACTGTTACATTTCAAATTGGCAGCAAGGTAATCAATCAGGTTATTAGCTCCAAAATGCATTTATCAGTGCATTTTGCTAAGTTTCCATATTAAGAAAACTACAGAAAAACTTGGAGCTGTTAACATCTTTTTATCATTGGTTAAGAACTACCAAGTTAGGGCACTGTAATTGTTAAAAAAACCAAAACAAACCAACCTGAAAAAATATCCTACCTTCCAACTTTGCCACCCTGGATTATTCTCTTGCTAACAATGCCCAGTTAATGATTCTTCTACTTTATTTCAGGTCATCTGTTGAGATCTTTCTGAAATAATTTTCACCTACAACAGGGCTTCTTGTTTGTGGGTAGCAGCACATGTCAGCTTGGCACAGCTTTCCTTTCACACAAGTGCAAGATGCTTCCTTGTGTTAATACAGAAAGCTATCAAAAACATACAGTGGCTGGATTTAAAAACAGATTCCATAGCACTGGCCATCATTAGCATTTCTAGCCAGCAACATTATGCTGATCTGAAAATAAATCTTTTGGGACAATGATTTCAAAAATACAGTTCACATGCTCACTGTGACAGAGCAATTCCTGTATTTCAGATATTTGGTCTATCTCTCTTCTGGCAGCACACTGATTTTATTGCTGGTGAACTCAGACAAGGGACTGCTCTTTATAAGACAAAATACAAGCACAAGCAAATACGATGGCTGCATCCACTCAATTCATTCCTTTTTTTTTTTTAATGCATTAAATGGGTACACAAATTTAGGCAACATTTAAACTTTTGGCAAATAGCTAATTTACCACATCAGTAACATAAATGTCAGTAATTTTTGACTTGGGACACTGTGGCAGTGAATCACCAGAAAAATCAGGGATTCATCTTGTCTCCTTCTCTCCTTTAGTAGTATGGAGATCAATATTCAGAGGGGGATAAACTTTCTGTTCTCTGAGGTACTGAACTGAGCAAGGCTGGATATAAGGAAAAGGTGGATCTTTAATCCAAGTAAGCAGCTCTTTATTATGACATCTTGCTTTTGTAACTTCTTTATTAATCTTAACTGTTAGAAGAAAAGACAAGTTAAGTTGCGTGAGAGCATCTTATGATTATTATATGTGCTCCCACAAATACAACTGATACTTTAAATTAATTTTCCTTAACAGTTTCCTTAGCAGTTTCATATTTCTTCTATGCTCCACTTGCAGCTGGTGTTCTCACATAACTTACATAGCCAGGAGTTAAATAATCTCTTGAAAATCAAAAGTAGAATTATGAGGCTCAATACACCAGTAGTAAATACAGTAAACACTTGACAAAAATACAGAGACAATTGGGATGTGGAACCAGTTCATTTTTGTACATCCCTAAAAGCATCTGTCTAATTAGGTTCATTTTTTGACAGACAAGAATGGGATTAGATCAGCATTATTGTAGCAGCCACATGACAGAACCTAGATGGTTATATTTGTCAAGCATTTAATTAATTTCTAGTCTTGTACTGGCCTCTCATTTACAAAGCTCATGGGAGACTACATGACTATCTCATGAGCAGGAATCATTATGTTTACCCACACGTCAGGGTTAACCTACAGTGAAATTGTCACCTTTATAAATACTTAACATTTCAAAAATGGCATTCTGTCTGGGAGGAGAGGAAGATCCTAGCCCATTTGTTCTTCCTCCTTTTTCCTGAAGGGAGGAGGGGAGAAGTCAAATTCTGTATTTTAGATAACAGAGACATAATTCCTAACAGATTGCAATAATGTACTGAAAACATGATCAGGAAACAACAACTGTAAGCCCCTAGTTGTTCATATGACAAATATTTCACTGAAAAGTGGAGCAACATCAAAAAGCTAGAAAACAAATGGTCATTCTCAGCTCTGCCAGTGTTGCAGCTGGTATTCACACAGGATTAGATTAATCCATGAGACACTTTTTCAGATCTTATCCCAGGTGTCAGTTAAGCAAGAAATCAGGCTCACGATAACCGAAGAGTTTAAAATCGCCTTCAAATCGTGCATAGAGGCGTCTTATGTCTCTCTTGCTAATTCCTGAAAAATACCGCTCTACTTTTGTTCTGTTGTACACTGTTATGCCTGGGGGGATTGTGGGGTATGATACCAAGTGGTCTATGCCAGCTGCTTTCAAGATATATGGAGCATCATCCTCCAGGGTCTCGTGGTGTCCAATCACACTGTATGTGATTTCACAGGGAGCACAAAGTTCCACGTATGTTACCCAGTGAATGATGTGGTCACCAAACTGAAGATCCAGCCATCGGTGATTAGGGTCCCCCAGGTAGCGCACAAAATCCTCAAACTGCAGCCCTTTGGTCTCTGTGCGGTTCTTCCTGTACTTACGGATGATGCCGGGAGCAATTTCATGCCGGTACCAAGGTTCAAATCGAGGATTGTGCACAAACTTGTCCTTAAACGCAGAAATAAGTCTTTCAAATGGATCTCTAACAATAAAAAACTTGAAGTATAAATTCAGTCTAAACAGAGGAAGAAAAAAATTAAATAATTAAGGAAAGTGTTTAGCATATACTTACAAAATGTACATGAACTCTGACCACAGACACAGCAACCTGAATCTTAGAGCACTTGTATCAATATTATAATCAATGGGACTAAATACAATTTCTGTCTTCTTACTAGCAGTTTTTACATACAGGACAAAGAAGAAATGGTTAATACTAGTTTTCACATTTTATTCAAACTGGAAGAGTTTAGCTAATCTCAATCCATAATAAACAGGAGACAAAAGACACTGAAATTAAAGATATTTGTATTGTCATGTGATCAAGCTCAAAAAACCAAAATACATAACATGGAGAAGTTCTCCATACATGGACATGGAGAAAAGTGCATTGGTGCAGCTAAATGTATATAGAAGGCTGCATTTTTCACTGGCAGGCAGTTAGATAAATTGCTGCTTAAGTACAAAGAGGTTAAGAATAGTATTTTATTTTGATGTTTTGTCATGCTTTCAAATAACGGCTGAGAGTACCACTGAAACATGAGACCACAGTTTTCAACAGAATTTAATGTACTACTGTGATACAGTAATATGTAATATTCTGTAGTCAGATTATCTGTAGGAGGAATAAATTGAAAACAAAATCTATTTCAATAAATAGCTAAAAAAAGATATTGAGAGCCCAGTCTTCACTGAAATAAGGATGGATGGACTGGACATGGATAGACTCTTCAGCCTGTACACCACTTGCATCATACTTCAGATACTCCAGACTTACTCCTAGCCAGGCAGGGCTAGGTAGAGGTCAGCAAACTGAGTCAACAGATCCACACCATCCTGCTTTCCACACCTAAAACTCTGGTAATTTCAGATCCAAACCGAACCCATGTTACACACCTCCAGCATTGCTTCCATGCTGAGCAGAACACAGCAACCCAAACAATAATGGATTCAACTTCATATATCCTAACTAGGGCTTACCCCCAGGTGAACAGTTCCTTTCTGCAGGGCGACTCAGAGGGCGGGAAACATCCATGTTCTCAAGAATGCAGTGACCATATTTTCCTTTGCACAATATCAACACAATCAAGTGACCCCAATTCTCCAGGCACAGCTGTGATAAATGTCCTTGTGCCACTGCATGCAACAAAAACCCTTGGGCTGAGCTCTACCAACACGTGACACATGTATAAAGGACTGATTCATCAGAATGGTGCAATGCACACAAATCCATGCAAGAACAGGCTTACAAGTGTCCACTGTCATCCTATGTCCTGTTCTCTCCATGCTGCCACCCCTTACAGGGATTATATATGGCATAGGCTCTCATAGAGATGAGAGCAGGCACAGTTAAAAATCTAGCCAAAGTAATGTAGAAGTTCTATTGCAGAATATTTTTTGGCTCTGAAAATAACCAGAAGCACTTAAACAGGAAAACAAAGTGGTTCAGCTGAATGGAAAATATTCTAGGGCTAAGAAGCACTAACAATTTAAATCTAACCAGCTCAGTCCCAGTAAGTCAGTCTGCTGCAACGACAATCTTACCTGTAGGCAGTAAGGTTTACCATATGAGACATCAGGATGGGCTGTCCAACTAAACCTTCTGTTCTGAAGGTCAGCTATCTAACAACTAGGTAGGCATTGAATTACAGAAACCTTATGTGCCAAGGAGTTGGTTGGCTCACCTAACTATATCACAAATGACACTGGCGCTCTCCTTCAAAGCCAGTGGGAAGGCAGATACAGCAACATCTGTGAGGATAACAGAATAGTGCCACAATACAAATGGTGGAGCAGAAACCCTGCTGCCCTCAGTTTCAGACACAGACTTCAGCTGTGCCCTTGACTGCCCATAACACCACTGACCTCAAACCCCTCCCACACTCACTGGCAGGGCCACTTACCGTTTTTTAATTTCAGAGTCACTGAAAGAGGACAAGCGTGGAAGGCCATTCTTCTCATGATCATGTACAATGTTTTCTGGGATCTCTTCTATGGAAGAAAATGCTCCTGGACAAATCAAAATGAGAGAGCAAGTGATTCATTCAAGGGGAAAAAAAACAGTGAGTATGAGCAAGCATGTATGGCTGACAGTTTTATGTCTTTGTCTTTTCTTTATTTTTACCATTTAAAGTTACTATGTTCAAAACTGTTAAATTATGAGAGATTCTGACTGCAAAGCTGAAAACTGTTAAAATTCTTCAGGGTATGTGACATCAAGGTCCAAGACCAAACGGCCACAAAATTCTCAGAAAAGCATATTATGCAAATTTAATCAGCAATTATGTCTAAGCCTGTAACTCCTCACATGTCAGTGTCCCCATTCTCTTTCCCTCTGCCTGCACACACAAATGGAGGAAGACTTTCAGGATTAACTCAGAAGAAGGAACCAGTTTTTTTTGGCTGAGCTTCAACCACCAACAAAAATAAATGCTATGAGCTGCTTTTGGAACTGGTTCAATGCAAAAGTACTTTGCTTTCAGGATCCATAAAGTTTTTTTAACAAGTATGCTGTGCTGAAACAAAAATTCCAATCAGAGAATACTCCACAGATTAAAAGGCACTAAAATTAACAACATAAGTCTCCAGACACTCATTTCTGAAAGCACATGAGCTGACAAGAAAAATAACGTCACTTAACTCTGCTGCATTCATTTTAGTATCCTGATCCTGGAAGGTTTTATGACCTTGAGAAACATCTCATGTGGCCCCCTGGGCTTTAGGCATAAGCCTTCACACAACAGCATCATTTCAGAACATCAACCTGCAACAAGCACAGGGTGCTACAAAACAAGCCTGTTAAGTGAAAGCCTCTACAGCCTTCTCATTTCCAGAACTCAAGTGAATAATACACACCACTCAGCTGCTCAGTTTTTCAATTTTCTTTTTCCTGGAGGGGGCAGGGGTGAGGGGTGGGGACTGGGGTTGTATTTTATCAGTTTCAGGTTTTCAATTGTATTTTTTGGTACCATAGGTGAATCACATGTGGACAACAGATGTCAGATGAGACACCTCACAGGACATAGTCAGTACAAGCAGTAGCAGAGTTAGCTCCCCCACAGTGCCATAGCTGCATTTCCCCCTCCTGAACCTCCAAATACCACTTAGGTATTTGGGCATAAATTATTCCCCCTCATGTATCAGCCCTGCCTTCTGAAACTACCCAAAGAGGAGAAAGTTAGGTCAACCACAGCAGTAGCCTTCATCAGCAGACACCAGTGCACTGGCAGCTTAAGGAAAAAAAGACCATATTTATGTGGAAGCAATTTTCTATCATTATCTAAGATGACAGAACCAGGAAACTCAAGGTGAAAAGTTCTCTGCTGCTAAGACATGAGTTATCCTCCACTCAGCATAGCCAATACATGCCTGCCCATTCTGAGGCATTCTTTGCATATTATCTCTCAAATGCTGCTAAGAGCAGGTACTTCCAATGCCCTCATACAGTTCCATATTTAGTACTTTGAGTGTTGCTTTCATAGGTATTGAGAAACATGCATACACATAGGTATGTGTGTATCTTTGCTGGATTTTTAGCTCACATCCATAGACCAAGGATGAAATTAACATTAAAGTTTTTAATGTTAGTACTGCTTGCTAGAAAAGCTTTGCTGAGGGACACAGCTCATTTGCTACTTTTTCAAACACACTTTGTTCCTTTGTCTCTTTGTTCCTTCTTTCACCATCTTTTATAACATACCTTTGGTGACCAAACTATAGTGTTAAGCACCTCAGAATCTTTGTAACTCTTAAGATGGTTCACTGACAGAACACACACAAGATTTCAGCAAGGCCAAGAGTAGCTGCCAAGTTTTAACTGGCTTTCTTCATGGCTAAAATCTCTAGTTAAAAGTCACTGGCCTTGAGCCAGAACTATAATATTATTATTACTTAGCAATTATAATACCTTTTCATACACTTTCAAATTCTATAATTTAGTTCACCCTTTCAAAGATAAGAAACCTACCTACTACACGCATATGGGTACTCTGTCATGACTCATCTTCAGAGCCAAGTAATAACAATACTTATTTTTACAGAAAGAACAGATCTCATTTTAAGGGGATGTTTTGAAAGGACAAGAAACAACTGTGATAAGTGAAAAGCTGAAATTAAGTATCAGTGTACAGAAATGCAGAAAGAATCCATTTCAGTTACCCCAGTTAGAACAATTCCATTTCCTTCTCCTCCTCCTCCTCAAAGAAACCCACACACCCACAGAAAAGCAGATACCATTTAAAACGATCAAGACTTTTTTCCACTGAGTGTTGCCCACTTTTGGCGTCTGACAAAACAGGATCTTGTGCTTGTCACACACAAATATTCGGTCCAAGACGAATTTGGAAACTGCAGTATGAGAGAGATCTCTCAATGCAGTGTCTTTGCAGACATTCCTGAGAAGCTCAAGTCTTTCCATATGAACCAGGGGTTGGCGGATCAGATTTCCTGAAAATGCTTTTCCAGTTGGCTTTATGAAATGCAGAGGAGAAAGAAAAAACAAAAGTTAAAGACTTTAGTTCTCAGATCAAATTATGAAGTAGAAAAATCCCCAAACTATGCACCCTAATGACTCCCAGATTAAAACATTGCTATGTATTAACTAAAGGAGTAGCCAACAGTTTGCTTCCTGTGCTGCTGCTGTACTTTGGTTCAGCTCTTAAGACATTACATGGTAGTACATACAGTAGTAAGAGCTTTTCTATACAACAATTTAAGTCTGTTGCACAGCAGCAGAGCCTTATCTGTGTGGATAAAGCATGCCTTGATCAAATACTGGAACTCCCACAGAATTTCAACAACCTGTAATCAAAGCTTTTGAGAGGTTAGGACAGGAATTCCAACATAAATTATGCTTTAAGCTCTGAGAAGATGGGGCTGACCCATGGTGTGATTCTTGGGAACGTCCTGTGCAGGCTAAGAGTTGGACTTTATGATCCTTGTGGATCCTTTCCAACTCAAAATATTTTGTGACCCATCTGGCTGGGAAAAAATTTAGGATCAAAGTTCTGTGTTGTTGTGTTGTTCTCTAGCACCTGTAGGCATCCAGTGTTTCCATTTATCCAAGTTGAAATAAAGTCAGGTAAATAAAAATGTGAACATTGAGCATCAGTGTGACAAACAAAAGAAGTATCAGGATACCTCTCCCCAAAAATGAATGAGCTGTTTCACATGTCTCATTTTTCTGAGACTAAGAAAGGAACCACAACCACCTTTTGCCTCACAACTAGTGGAGTGAGAGGAAAAAGGAGATTCTCTAGTTAAGGGGTGATAGGAAAGTTTAAATTTCTACTGACAAATTTTCACCTTTTCGATAACTGAATGGCAATCCCCAATATCAATACAGACTAGGGGATGAACTGATTGAGACCAGCCCTGCCAAGGACCTGGGGATACTGATGAGTGAATTGAATTTGTGCTGGCAGTGTGTACTTGCAGCCCAGAAAGCCAACTGCACCCTGGACTGCATAAAAAAAGCACAGTGGCCAGCAGGTGAAAGGAGGGGATTCTTCCTCTGTACTCTCCTCTACTGCCACCTGGAGTGCTGCACACATCCCTGGGGCCCAGCACAGGAAAGACATAGACCTGCTAAGGGAAGGTCCAGAGGAGGCCATGAAGATGGTCCAAGATGGAGCACCTCTCCTATGAAGACAGGCTGAGACAGCTGTGGCTGTTCAGCCTGGAGAAGAAAAGGCTCCAGGAAAACTCACTGCAGCCTTTCAATACTCACAAGGGGTTTGTAAGAAGGACAGACTTTTTACCAGGGCCTGGAGTGACAAGACAGGGGTAATGGTTTTCAACTGAAAAAAAATAGGTTTAGACATTAGGAAGGAATTTTTTCCTATGAGGGTGGTCAGGCACTGGAACATGTTACCCAGAGAAGCTGTGCATGGCCCACCCCAGAAATGTTCAATGCCAGGTTGGATGGGGCTCTGAGCAACCTGGGCTAATCAAAGGTGTCCCTGTCCATGGCAGAGGGCTTGGAACTAGACCATCTTCAACAGTCCCTTCCAACTCAAACCATTCTGTGATTCTATGATTTTAGGTACAGTGTCCAAGCTACAGATGGAAAAGGAATTATTTTACTTTTTGTCCCAACCTTTCTAAGGAAAAAAAAAATTCTGCTTTTTCTGTTTCTTATTCTTCTCCAATACCCCCTGCTCAGAATGTAATCTGAACAGTCTGTCAGATTATTTTATTTGTCCAAACAATTCTTTCTACATGTAACCAAAATTAATGTTGTTACTCTACATTTCATGCTGTCAGGAAGTCAAGAGGGAATTGTTTTAGATCCAGAAACCTTATTATCCTCTTCCATACTAGTAAAGAAAGCTAATAAAATTATCTCTATATAGATCTACCGTCCATTTAACAAAGTGTTTTTCCCAAGTATTTTGAAGGTAACTTAAATTTTATGCTTTTGAAAAATGACACCAAAAAGAATCATGCTTATACAGCTAACCTACCTTCCATGCTGCATCACAAAAATACTTTAAAGACGAGATGAGTTATGTACTAATGCAAAAAAAAAGAATTTGATTTATCACACTCTGCAACTGCTCTCAAATTTACATTTGTATAAAGGATTTTCAGAGTTCCGTAGTCGATTTGTTGAAAGCACAGAGCTATGCATCTAAAAGATCAACTGGTATTGACTACTATTGTGTTCATGTTCTACTTTGGAAAAATGCTGAAATGTGAAACACAAAGAGCACAAAATACGAAGAAGAAATTGACAGTGATAAAAAGAAACAGAGAGATTGGGCAGAAATCTAAGAGAATAGCACAGACACAGGCTTGCCCTCAACAAGCACAAACCTGATCACTATGGCAAGACAGAACACAAGTAATCCAAAACTGGGCCATTACATTAAAAAGGCTAACAAAAACGACTGTCCTGACTTGATAAAGGAGCACTGTAACAATTTTCTCCTAGAAATGGAAACACATTAAGTTGAATCATTCAGATGAAACAAGACAGCAGATTACCGTAACAAACCAGCTTTGTGAAGTTAAAATGAATTCTGTCGCCTCTATCTAAATAGAACAGTCTGAATAAATAATTCCTGTCTAGCAATTCATCTGAACAACAGGAAGCCCTTCCTTAATCTCTTCTTTTCTTCTACTTTTTAATACACATAACCTTTATCTCAAGAGTATGCACCTGGAATTCTTGAGGCCAATGTTTTTCCTGTGGCACATGTACCTCCTCCACTTTTGTCACAGCTGTCAGAATCAATGGCTCTTGCTTGGAACCATAGCCTGAAGAAGGGAGAGAGATAACAGCATTACAGAAGGTGAGGGGAAAGAAACTATTTCTGCTTTACAACTAAAACACATGAACTTTACTTTCTGTATTAACCTTACAAAACACTAGGAGATTTGTTTCCACATGGAAAGGTACTAGACAAGACAGATACAGACAATGAATATTTTAAAGGATGTACTCTGGGAATTTTGGATGCAACTTCATTTGAGTTTTATCAAAGAAACATACCCATTATATTTTACTTGGCTTTTTTGTTTGCTTTGCTTTTTTCTAAAAAGTGTGCAGAGATATCAAAGTCTTGAATCCAAATACCTCAATTGATAGATAATTTGGTATAACTATATGGACTTGTGCATAGGAGATTTTTATTTTTCAATGAACTTGCCAAAGCATGTCCAAATAAAAAACTTAAATCTCTCAGCTTCCTCTCTCCCTTTATACTAGTAAAAATGTTTCTTCTTTTGTAGACTATTAAACTTACAAGAAGAAGTGTCATTATGGACATCCTTTTATTTCTGTGGTACTCTAAGTAAGCAACATATATAATCAACAATAAATAAAGATCCCCTTCTTCCTTTATTACTGGACCGATGGCCTTCTTTAGAGATTCTCACAACAACAAACTCAGCTTTTTCTTTTTTAGTGATTTTAGGACAGCTAGTAGTTTGAGACCAAATTAAAGCATGTAAGAAAGAACCCTTTTCATCTTTTGCATTTAGTATGGTACAAAAAAACCCAAAAAATAGCACATGGTTTTAGCTTTAGTCTACACAGTGCAGAAAAATCAAAAATAATTTGAAGCAGCTTTCCCTAACTACAAAGCAAAAAGAACATGTTTTCTCCCTGAAAATTTATTTCCATCCATATTGGATTACTTTTCCCTTCATATAGATTCTTCTATGAATAATGTTTCCTCATCTGCATCCACAGGGGCTTACTGTTTCATGGTTGAGAAAATGTGAGCACTGCCTATGCCCTTTTCTTCAGGGAGTACTCTACTCTGCCTACACTGGATTTTAACAAAGGGCACGCATGGAAAAGCAAGTTAAAACTGAAAGCAATGGAAGCATTCAAGCATTCAGAAACTGTAACTGTTGCTGTGCACAGACTTGCTTCATGGTGTTCTGTAAAATACAAGTAATCTGATTCAGTGCAAGAGCAGCTAAACTATTTTTTCACTATCATGGTGTAAAAGCATGCCTGTAGATGCTACTAGGAATGATGGACAGAAACTTGCTCCTTAAGAAGTTCCTATTGCTCATGCACCCAAGACATCAGTAAAAGGCTTAAACAAAAGAATATTGATTCACTGAGCATCTGCTGGTTTTATTCCATCTGCTAGGAAGACACATCCAAAGAAGAAAAATTTCTGACAAGTTATATTTTATTAAGTCTAGAAGAGCTTCTCCAGGATTTGCCATCCTGTTTGGACTTCCTCCAAAATTCTGTTGGTATAGTCAAAGTATTTCCCTCAATCAGTTTTATTACAAACACTCCAACACATATTACACTTAACTATAGTCATGCCTTTGCAGGAAAAGCTTAAGAATTTATGTATCATCTGCTCAGAGAACTATTCAAAAGGACTGGAAGATTCAGCATTGAAAATAAAAAGAAAAAACTTGGCAAGCCAAGATAATAAAAAGCAAATAAATGCAAAGGCTATGCTCTAGCAATTATTATTTTTAACTACATTTTAATTTTCCTGAGAAATTCTGATGAAAAGAAACACCCAAACAATACCTGAGCTGGGAAACAAGAGTTGGCATAAAGTGAAATACTGGAAGATATAACTAATAACATAAGACTAGCTGATTTGCAGATGCACCAGGACAGAACAGCTGGGTCCAAGGAAAGCTAAGTTAGTCCACATTTCTCCTCTGTAAGACTTGCTGAATAAATCTTCACATAGATGCATATTATTTATAAAGGTACACCTAATGTATTTATCCATTATCTAATTATTGAAAAACACAGCACAAGTGTCAATGCTTCAAAAGTTACATATTTTTTGCATGTCTTAGGAAGATGCAGAAACAGATCTCATGAGACTCAAAGTCACATAATCACCTTCACCCAAAGCTCTCTGTAGGGTGGCTTTGTAAGAGCAGCTTCCCAGCAGACACAAAAGTAACATGCTGTGTGGTGTCATCAAATGGCTTAAATTCCTCATCATCTTAATAACATCTCGGCTACTTAAGCTGAGCAAAAGCCTATAAGCTGTTTACAAGTCAAATAGCAGGGGATAAAACTGAATGCAAGAAGCAGGCCAGAGGTGGCTAGGCACAGTGCATTGCAAATGAAATAAAACTTTCCACAAGTTTTACATAATGCCCCAGCCACAAGACAAGCAGTGACAAAAAGACAGAAACTAGTATCATGTGAAATGAACTCTTCAGTACCCTCTGAGTCTCTTCTGACTTTAAACAGGTAATAGTGCTCTGTTGTTTTTGCACATAACGATACTGAAACTAAACATAATTGAAAAAGCAGACCTGCCAAGACAGTACTGCCAAACACGATCCCTTCTGTTCTTAACCACCAAAAAAATCTCCTGTGATGTTAGATTTGCAGACTTCTAGCAAGAAATGGAACTGAGTATCAGCACTGTCACTTTCAGACATTTAGTTGTTCTGTTCTCAGTCCTACTGAAGAAGAGATAACATGCCAAGAGCTACTTTCATAGAAAAGAATATTTTTGTGAAGCACTATTCAATTTTCTGTTTCACATCAAACATTAAAGCTGAACTTACCATCTGGGTCTTTAAAAGTCAATGTGATAAACTTGCTAGCAACCATGAACATGAATATCACCCAAAAGCATGCAGCTAGCAGCAGCCACTGGTGGTGCATGTTGTCAGCATGCATGTGAGCCATATAAAGTTGGCACTTCCTGTTTGAAAGAGAAAACATTGACACATTAATTATTTTTGTTACAGTTTAGAAAAAATACTTTCCATTACCAAAAATAAGAAACTTTAATATGTATGTGTGTCATAAAACATAGCAGTAGATTCCACGTTTAACGTTTTGTCCATTCAGCTGTATTTTTAAGCAACATTAAGGCTGAGACAATGTAACTACTGGCTGCTGTCAAAGGGAGGCTTCACTCCTTCACCCGTGTGAACATTCCCCCCTTCTGCTTGTGCTGGGAATAGCACTGTCTGTCTGACTGCTTGGGGAGATAGATCAAAACCCCCATTTTTAAAAAAAAGGGTTTATTTTTTGATTCAGCTTAGCAAGACAACCCATTGTAGGAGAGGAAGAGAGACTGAAGAAAGCTGTGCTCTCAGTGGTAGATGTACCATTAACACTATACTTGGTTATCCCAAGCCAGCTTATGACATATAACATGGACTCTTCCCCTGCCCAGCCCACAGAAATTACAGGCTGGAAGCTACCAAGCTGGAACACTAAGCTTAAACTGACCAAATGTTTTTCAGTTTCCTTGCAGCATTGCCTACTACATGTAGCTCTATCCCTGCAGGTAAGCCTCAAAGAGAACTTCCTCAGGAGTGCAAGAAGGGTTACCCAAACAATTGAGATTGCAGTTTTAATGTGCAGAGAAACCACCCACAGGAACTGACTGAATACACACAGTTCTGTCCTGATTTTTGAAACTGCTATCCTAATATTTTTTTTTCTATGACTGTAAGATTAAATATAAGGAAACCAATGATAAAAGAGATTGAAGTTCCCAGCCACTAAGAGAAATGGAAAATTTTAGGCTGTATCTTTAGCTGAATTTCCAACTTCTGATGGGCAATACATATGGAGGTAGACACCAGGTATCTGTGAAAGCTCCATTGCAAATAAAAAAATAACCCACATCCAAAACCTGCAAAAGTACAGCACTATTGTCTCTACTGTTGCTGGACAGATAAGACACCTGAGGGGCTGAACACAGGTGCTGAAAAGAGTGAATACTTCCTTTTGAGAACACATGCAGCACAACATCCAAGCATTTAACCAAAGAGGATCTAATACAAAAATCTCATACAATGACATCCTCACAACAATCCTATAACTAGCAATAGGATCAAACTCAGCCTAAAGCAGCCACATGCAACTTCAATGAGAGTCACATCTGCATGGTTTGTGATCACAATTTCTATGCTGGCATTTAAGTGAATTGACAAGGAATACAAGAAATGCCCTCATTCCCAGTTATGATGCAAAAAAATGTTAGTTAACACTTCTAAGGGAGGGTTTATTAAGTTTCTCAGTCATATACCAGTATTGCACTTTCTTCATTCCCATAAAATTTCAATAACAGAAGTAAGCCTGGTTTTGATGTTGTTTCAGCATGTCCACCTGCAACATCACTACTACTGCTACAGGTGCCAATGCTTTTCCAACTAGCTTTTGCCTTCCAGCAATGCAAATGTTTCCAGGAAGAATTCTCTCTAAAGCTGACAGCAGTGAACCATCTTCAGGATATGCTGAAAACCTGTGCAGGCAGTCAAACAGTTCAAAACAGACTTGGGACCCAAATGATGTATGCAAAAATGGGTAAGAGGACAAAAAGAACTGAGTATCTCCAGTTAAAGGGAAAAAAAATTAGCTAGGATGGCAGTGTTCAGGTCTATTTCTATCTCCTAATTTTTCAGTTTGGTTTCTGAAAGTTTCTTTCTTTCCCCCCCTCTTCTTTCATGAGTCCATTTTTAAGTACTTCTAAAAACACCACACCTAGGTATCAACTGTCTTTTGAACAACTATGGGTGCTGTGACCTCCATCAAGACAATGTTTCTCATCTGGTTTTTGCTGCAATTCCCTGGCTGACAACTGATCATTGAACATCCCAAACATGTTTATTCTTCATGTTCTGGAAAGCTGTTGACCAGAAAATACAAATATCATAGGAATTCCATCAGACTGGCCTCTTTTCAGCTAAGTACTTCAAAAGTTATTCCCACTCTAGTGTATCACTACACTAGTGCAAGCCTGCCCTAAGATACATGCTGAAAAGCACCAGGTCTCAAAGGTCCTTATTTTTCAGTCTGCCATGAAATGCACCGTATTCCACTTAAGCACTGAGATTTGTTACCTTTACTCTCAGACATTGCATTTATTTCCAGCTCCCACAGAAGACTAAAAATCAGATCTGATATCAAGAGATAGAACTGTAGCAATGACATTTTTTACTTTTTAGGTAGCTCTGCTAAAACCATGAGACCTGTTCAACATCCAAAACGCTGAATGCAGCAGACTGACAGAAGCTTGCAGAGAACACTCTGCAGGAGGAAAATCTCTAACAATCAGCTATGGGCTTTTCAGAGGTATAATGAAAAGTCTGGGCCAAACCTCTCTGCCCAACTCAGTATATTTGTCCTACATAAAGCAGGGTAGAAAGGCCTCCAACATTCATAGCATCCCTGCTAGTCTGTTCACTTCCATAACAGTGATGGATGCACACCATTCAGTAAGGACTATTGATCTATATCCCCTTATGTAATTCATGTATTGGATTTCTAAGAAATTGTGTTAAATCCCATGGGAAATGCAGTTGCTTTGTGCTCTGACCTGAATGCAGTTAGTGGAGAGAGGACCCTGCTGCCAGGTCTTGTGCTGTAGGGACAGGAGAACATTTCAGCCAGTCACCTACAAGCAATTCTCACCTTAAGGAAAGGCTTAGAGAGCAGGAAGGGGTCAGAACTGCAGCCCCATCCATAAGAAGCATCTCTTTTACCCTTCAAGACATGGAAGCTGAGAGGAAAACATTAGCAGTTTTGTACACTCTTCTTTTTTTAATGTGCACATGAAATCTGCAACCATACTCATGAATGTAAGAGTCTTGTCAGAGGATCTGTCATAATGTAATTATGATATTACTACACTGTTACTTCCAACATCTTAAAGTACATCTGCATCAGCAGCTCATCACTGATCTCAAGAAGCAAAGCTGTTCAAAGTTACAGACAGGAATACCTCAACCATTATGCTCAAATGCAACGATCAGTACTTTTTAAAAAAGTAATGTGTTTATGTTCTTTCTCTGACTCTACCTTAATATTTTTGTTGTTTTCACATAGGGCAATTGCATTTCCTGTTTCATCTCTAACCTTGCTGCATTTCTGTTGCCTCTCCTGCACTTATTTTCTAGTAAATACATGTAATAGCTTCTGGTTTTTCTCTTTAAAAGGCTCCTTCAGCTCCCAAAAGAGTCTTCCATTTCTGGTTGTCTAAAACACAATTTTTCTTTACAAGTAGACAAAAGCAAGAAGTATGTTAAAGGTTTAGTCAATTTTCTCACAATGAAATAGCTCTCTGGTTAGTTTCTCCCTCTTATTGCAATTCTACACTTTTTAGAAGCAAGAGATCTCAAAACTCCTGTCCCCACCCATTCCTCTGTCCTTCCCTCTCAGTGCTACCACAAAGGCAAACTGTCACATATCCCTCAGATTAGCCAGATGTAGGGTTTTGCATGAGAAAAAAGGGGATCACCAACACACACACCCCAACACACAATACAAATATGAACCAAAGATCAAGACACAGCATTGCAGGCTTGACCCGAAGCCCACAAGTAACCTGCTACCTCGAATAAACACTCACTCTTTGCAGAAGACTGCTGTCTTCAAGTGAATGATGGGACAAAGGGCAAACAATGTAAGCAGCATTAAAACTCAGTGCACAGTCTCTGGCTCTGCAGCTTATGCTGCCTGCACAGGGGCTCTTTGGCAGGACAGTCCCTGCATGCATCCTCAATGGCAGTGACACGCCAGGAGGCTCCAACTCCCAAGTGCTTGCCCATCAGCACATGATGACTCACATCACTGGAAATGGAACTGGTAAGGAAGGCAAAGCAACAGCTAACTGGGACAACCTACTTCATTTTCACCGATGCTTCCTTTGTGTTATTTTACAGGTACAAAAATCTGGCCAATTTGTTCTGCTTCAAAAAAATTCAGACTAACATATATCACAGACGCTCCTTTGGCAAGTTGCGTGGCGCTCCTTAATGCTCTAGCACACATCGTAACAGGCTGGTTCTCTCCTAAGGCTCGCCTCCTCCCGAGGGCACTAGCAGGCCTGCGTGTCTGCTCCTCCAGCTCCCGCTGGGGCCCGGGGCGCTCCCTGCGCACGCAGTTCACCTGTCAGCGGGATGTGCGCCCCGAACCAGGGCAGCAGCAGCGCCGGCACCGCTGCGTGACCCGCCTGGGCCCGGGGCAGGCCCGGCGTGCACCCGTCCCGCGGCGCCGGGCTGGGCCGGGACCCTGCGTGCCCTCCGTGCCCGGTCTGACAGACAGCAGCTCCGCTCCAGCGGGCACCCCACGCTCCTCACCGCTGGGAACGGCAGCGTCCAGGCTTCCTGGGTGCTCCATTCATTCCGAAAGCCCAGAGCGGTCCCGGCCAAGAACAGGGGACAGGGCCGTGCTCTGACCGGCAGGGGACGAGCCGAGGCAATGCCCAGCCCCAGTCCCAGCCCTGCTCCGGGCGCAGGGACCTGGGATGAACCGACATAAACTTTTCCCGTTCTGGAGGGAAGCTGGGCGGGCTTCCCCTCACCCGGCAGAGACGTACAACCCATGCCCGCAGCGCCCGCTGGCATCCCCGCCCGACCCGGGGTGCCGGAGGAGCCTCTGCCCTGGGCTGGCAGCCGCCAGGCCTCCCCCCGCGGCCCGGCCCGGCCCCTCCCTGCTTACCGGCCCTCCAGCGCCGCTGCCCACAGCCCCGGCCCGCGGCGGCGGGCTCCCGCCTCACTCGGCGGCACGGCCGGCCCGCTCGGGCGGCCCCGGCTGCCGGCGCATCCCCCCCGCCCGGCTGCGGGCGGCGGCGGCGCCTCCCCGGCCCCGCTCAACCTCTGCCGCCGCCGCCCGGCCCTGCCGCCGCCGCCTCCATCTCCTCCCGGGGCCGCGGGCAGGCCCCAGCCCCGCCGCCGGGAAGGGGAGGAAGGTGAAGGCCGCCGCGGGGACGGCCCGGTTCGGCTGCGGGAAGACGCAGCGCCGCACCCGGCCGCCCGAAGGCGGGAGGGAGGGAGGAACCGAGGGCGGGCTGGGCAGCTCTGCCCTGCCCTCCCCGCCCCGCCTCTCCCCTCCTTCCCCTCGAGCGGGGCTTTCCAGCCGGACTCGCGAGTATGCACTTGTGTACGTGTGTTTGGGTTGTTACGTTTGGGTTTTTCAACTGTTAAAATATCTTCGTAGGTCACTAACGCTCGTGTTTAAGAAAAATATATGCATCTGGAAATTACAGAATCATTTATGTTGGAAAAGACCTCTAGGATCTTTGAGTCCAACCGCTCCCCCAGCGCTGCCAAGAGCACCACTAAACCGTGTCCCGAGGGGTCACATCCATGTGGTTTTTGAACGCTGCAGGAAGGTGATTCCACCGTTGTCCTTGGCAGCCTGTGCCAATGCTTGACAAACTTTCCATGAAGAAATTTTCCCAAAAACCTGACCTAGATCTCCTTTGGCGCAACTTGAGGCTCTTTCCTCTGGTCCCATCACTTGCTACTTGGGACATGAAATCGGTCCTCGCCCGGCTACAACCTCCTTTTAGGGACTTGAAGAGATCAATAGGATCCCTTTCCATGTGATTCTTCCTCCCTCATGTTTCTCCAAACACCTCTTACTGTTCCATTTTCTGAAGCCCACCATCAGGCAGGAATGAAACAATTGAAACAATCTTTTTAGAGCCAGGCATTCCCCAAGCCCTCACCCTGCCATGGCAGACACAGGCTGGGTGCAGGCTCCAGGAGAAGAAAGCTGTCCTAAAGCCCTGTGAAGAGCAGCTGTAGTGTGATGGCAGGTGTTCTCTGAATGCTGCTGCAGGCCAGCCCAGGCTCCTTTTCCCCCATAGGCACTGTGTAGTGCACATAGCTGTGCACACAGCTGTGCACTCAGTGCTCTGCCCACTGGACAAGCAAAATGCTCGCCTACAGGATTCTGATACCCACAAACCCCATCAAAACCAGGTGCTGGTGATGTGTCTCTTTTTAATATCTATTTTAAACAGGTCCTCTTGAGGACATATTGCAGTCTTACAGTGCACTTGTCCCTGTTTAGACCATTATTTAGACCATGACCTGATCCGTGCATTCTCAGACTTGACTACTGTGGTGCACTTTGCTGAAGCCTGACCAAGGAAGTCCAAGGATTCTGTCATTGGTACAGATACCATGGCCAACCTATGGAGTAGAGCAGAGTAATGCAAATGTGTTAGCAGTGTCCTAGGGTGTTCAGTGCTATGCTGATGGCTGCTTCTCTCAGTAGAGCAGCAGAAACAGAGATATCACTGGGAACTAGTGGTCAAAAGCTAGTAATCAGAAACCCAATTCTCTGCCTGACTGTGTTTGTTTGTATCAGCACCTTGGGACACCACATCCTTGTGCATCCATTCCTCTCTGCCTGTGAAGTAGAAATGATTTTGACTGTTACTTTTTAAGCAAAGCACATTGGCAATCTGTGGCTGTCACCAGTCTGAGTCTTGCATAGGCTAGAAAGCTGCTCCTTTCCCCAGGTTTCAGTCATGACTACAGTTGCAGTAGGCATGGATTTATTAATAAGCAGTCTCCAGCTGTGGAACCAATTCCTGCCAGATTATCAGACTCAACTTAGGAATTTTAACCTTTCAAGTATGTTGTTACTGACATGTATAATAATTAATCCAGCACAAAAGAGACCAATTTTCCAAATTAAGCCCAGTTAATAAGCTTTGTTGTCAGTAATCGGGCCTGAAAGTGTCTGATGAAGTTGAAGAATGTGTTGCATAGGCAACTGTACTGTTGGATTATACAGTTGCTAGTTCAGGCCAACAGGATTCTTGCTACTAATAATGCTAAGCCTTAGTAGGGTTTAGTGCTTTAAATAGGCAGCAAAATCAATGTGTGAGTCGGGGTTCTTTTTAATACTAGAGAATTTTTACATTGCCAGAGCAATGTGAAGGATAAAGCTGGTGAAAAGTCACCCTGCTCTCTCTGGAATATTCTGGAGTGTCTTTCTCAGATAGATGATGCCAAAGCCAATGGAAGTGATGTACCCATTTTTTTCTGTAACGACATGGGCCTAAACCTAAAAAATTAGTCTTAATAACCTGTTCAATGTTTATTCCACTAAAAAAGGGGAATAATGACTCCTGTGTATCTTTATTCCAGGTTTCACATTTCTCCTGGAAGGGTCTTACAGAAGATTCACATTTGCAGCTTGGCCAGTCAGGGAAGACCAGGTGTAGCTCATTCAAGCATTTTAAGAAGTTGTTATCTGTCAGTGGCAGGCTGTCTTGACTGCTCTTAGTATAAGTTAATTCTAAATGGCATTTAAGCATACCAAAATTTTTTAATGAGCCCCTGTCTTGGACAAGATAAGTAATCATCCATACTGCAGTTTACATTTGAACACATCCAACCTAATCACACTGACAGAACTTTCATTTTCCTTGACCTTCCAAGTTCATCCTATTTAGCAGAAGCCTAGGCTTGCCCATATTGTTAAACTTATGCTATGTTTATTTTGTGCTTTTTGCTGTTATTTCAGGATTTAATCCAATGCCAGTTACTAGGATTAGTCTTGGTAGCCCTTTTTAGTCATGCTTTGTTTCCATAAGAACTGACCTTAAGACAAGTCACCTGCTCAGCATCAAATACTCATGAGGATTTAAATAAATCTTATTTAAATCAGCAGGAAGGCATGCTTCTCCTAGTGCATTACTAGTGAAATCATCTATCTGCTTCATGACTGCATTTCTGAGGCATGGCTGATCACCAGAGGAGATCTCTTGGGTACAAGTACCTTGATTTACAGGTCAGACATGGCATCTTTTGTATGTAATACATTTATTAGGGTGTGATCTTCATCATCAGATTCTGTCCCTTTCTGGAACTTAAGGGACCTTATTTAAATGTGGTTTGGGTTGACACAAGATAGAACATATAGAATACTTTCTGGCCTCTACATTATTAAGAGACACTGAGGAAACAAAAAAAAAAAAAAAACCAAACCAAAACGGCACCAAAACGGCAGGCCAGTGAATCAATTAATTCAGAGAGGTACAGCCTCATACAGATGCAGGATTTACTAATACAGCATAAATATAATGTATCTAAAGTAGTATGTGTTTCCTTGCATAGGAAAGATTGAAGTGTGTTGAGGGACTGGGGGGACTTAGGGCTAATATCAGTAGCAAAATCATACTGGCTGTAGTAAGGGTAAAATTAGATCTGTAAGCAGCAAATGAGATGTGTTCATTCGAAGATTAAGTTAACTTTTTATTTTGGGTTAAAAGCAAGTTTTACCTCATGTTGTGTGCCTTGGAATTCTTAAATTGTGCATATCATTAAACCATTTGGTTGCCCTTTAAGAAGGAGACAAAAAGTTTAGATTGAAGTAAGTAGGTCATTAGCTGAACCATCTAATTTATCTTATGTTCTTCAGACATTTAGTCTGAGTTGGTAGTCTGAAAAATGAAAACAGATTTGTGAAGTTTATTAATAGCAAAGAACCAAACGGTCTGCTAGGACTGGACTAGAGTAGCAAAGAACTACATTTAATTATCAAATCAATGTCAATTAAAATTGAACCTAATTATTCAAAATTAATTATATGGGTCATAAAATGAGTGCAGCCAACCATCAAATTATCATGTCAATGTAGCAAGATAAGTCAATTCTTTAAATAAAAATCAGAAACAACAATTGAATTTGAAGTCCCAGTTATGGGTGTTTTCCAAAGTAGTGAAATTAAGACAATTGACTGAATCACTTTGTGTTCAAAACAAGTTACTGTATTGCAAAGTGACTGCTCCCTTCTTTCAACCCTCCCCTTTCCCCACGGCTCAAATCAGACAGCTGGATTCAGCTGGCAGAGTCAAACTGGCAAGCAGCTGAGCCTTAAATTTACCTGCTGCATTCTCCAAGGGACAAATTATTTCCAGGCTATTTCTAAGTGACAAAGTTGCTGTGACCCTGCAGGTACAATGCTCATGGTTGCATTGTGACTTAGGCTCCAGTGTGGGTAAGCTGCAGATACCCATGCACCTGCCAGTGCTGTCCTTGACTCGAGAGGAGCTGCAAGAGTGGCATTGCACAGATAGAGAGCACCAGAGCTGCTCTAGGCTCACATAAAGAAGTAAAAGGCAGATTTTTAGGTGGGGTTTTTTTTTCTGGTCATTGTTTCTTAAAAAAGATCATTGAGTGGAGGCAGCTGTGCTACTCTGAACTAATACTTCTCTCAATCAGTGTTTGAGATTACACTCTGAAATATTGAAAAAACAACTAAGGACAGCATGCTAAGCAGAAAACACAGTTCCTGAAGTATCTGATACCAGTAGTGCTGCTGTATCAAGGGAGAGCTGTTATCTTCTGCTTGATTATCCCCAGGTTAGAAAACTGACCCGTTTTGGGGCAAGCAGAAACACCTGAGGGAGGCTGAGGGTCACTTAGGTCATGGGGGTGTGAGATTAAAAAAAAAGAGGTGGAGGCAGGTACAGAACCTGGGTCCCATTTCCTAATGAATGTATGTAGGATTAGAATGTTTTGCATTAGGTGGAACAGCTTTCACAGGGACATTGAGTGCTTCAAATAATTTATAACTTGCTGCTTAGGGCTGGCTCTTGGGAGATGGCAGATGTGGTATCTATCAGGAGGAATCTGAACATTTGTTTCCCATATCCTTATAGCTTAATAATTAACTAGGAACTGCACCACTCTTGTGAAGGCAAGAAAAAAGTGTTTGTGCCAGAAATTCAAGGAGATGTAAGTCTAAAAGGGTT